TTGTTGTTTGTGTGCAACACATTTTTGTCATTACCATGAACGCAACTATATATATTTTAACTACAAAATCAAGTAAATTGCATGCCAATTGCACAGTATTTATTGTATATTTAAATTGTTGTTGTAATAAATATAATGACGCGTAAAACAACAAGTAATGCGCTTAATTATGTAATCGTGAAATTTTGCTGAAAATAAAGTAGTTATCCTATCGGCTATGAACGAGTTTTGACGCACCCTATTCGCTTTTTTTTCGTGATTTTGGCTTTTCAGGAAACAATCGGGATATGTGTAGATTTTGAACTACTTAAGCTGTTATATGTAAGTGATTTTCTTTCTAAATAATTTAACAACTACATATCCATAATGTTATATAAGGTCATTACAACGACTTGCACAACGACTTGACAGCATTTCCTGCAAAACTCTTTTGGTCAGCAGCTTTTTTACACATTTCTATACTGTTGTATAGTGCAACACACCCTAATGCTGGTACAAGAGAATCCCATTAGTCGCGATACTTTTGAGGTACCTGCTGATATCCATTACCTTACGTATTCTTCGCTTAAGACAACAAGAGAAAAGTAAAACTTCAAAGGCCCTTAGCTGCAATTGCCTACTAAGCTGCCAATGGCTGTGTGCGATACCTACATACTAGGGATGTTGCGAATGTGCGGAATGAATGCGAATGCGCTTACAAGCCAAACCAGAAGTGTCAGGTTTTTCTAAAGCTTTTTAAAAAGAACTATTCATTCTCATTCAGTTGGCTGTTTCACAATTTTGGGGGAACCTGTAACATACTTTTTTCTGCGACTGTATTGAAAAATTTCGTGCTTATAGCGAGCTAAATAGGTGGATATGGGAAATAAATTATTATTTTCCGGGAATGAAAATTTTGAACAAAATTCTGTTTTCAAAGTCGTGGCTGCCAGCCGAATCGGAGCATTTTTTTTAAACACTCCGTGTTTTTATAAGCATTTGAATTATTGGCATCACGGATGATGNATACGTTTTATCGGTGCACTTGCACAACATTCGCATTCGCATTCGCAAAAGCTCCGCATTGATTATAGCGAATGCGAATGTTGCAATAAATTACACACGAGTAATTAGTATGGTGCATTGGATTTGTCTGGATTAACGACATTTAACTACTGCGTATTCGCCATGCAAACTACTCCCAATTAATTTGAATTTAACTACTGCGGACCAACCCAATGATTGCAGTATGCCTGCTTGTAATTGATATGGGATTTGTATATTATAGGATCTTTATTATTGGTTTCCGCGTTTCTCCCGTTAGTTGTAAGTTTGCATTGTTGCACATGAAGGTTTCGGGTGCGCTTTTTATATGTAGATGTTGCCTGCTTGGGGTTCAGAGTATTTTCTTTTAAGTCCCTTTCTATTTACAATATCGGTTTGGCGTAAAGTTTCGCATACTTGTGTAAGTAAAGCTCTTTTCAACATCGAGGATAAACTATAACTACACTTTGAAGCTGACAGTGTAAATGCTCATATACGGAAAAATAGCCAGCCTTCTAGCTAGGTCTTTGCCAGGTTTCCACCATTTTGTTTCCAGGTACAGCCCATTGGCTGCAGAGTGGCTTGGTATGATGTGCACTTCTCTGCATGCAGCAGCTGCACGACATTTTTCTTAAACCAGCTGTTCCTGTGCGGGTGGAAGTATGTTTTAGTAGTCAACCGCAGCGGTGCGAAGAGATTGGGAGATCGATTCCCATTGCTCATTTATATCCGGTCGATGAGAAGTTTATTGTTTAAAGAGGATGCAGAGTCGATTGTTGGACCAAATATGTTTAGCTTTACCGCATACAGTGGAAATTCGTCCAGTGATGGGGGTTGTTCAAGCGCTGGTGCATTTCCCATACAAAAGCAAATGCAGCAAACACACACGCACATGCGCGTAAGGGGATATGCATTTTTCATGCAATTCTCAAATATCTCCTCGCTGAACTTATTGAATTAACAAGTCGCTGACATTTTGCACAACAAACGACCGTCAATGCTTGTTTGCTTGACGCATCGGAAACACTCGACTCCCGGTGCCATTTTGGAACTTGGTATAGACTAAGGCCTGCAAGCCATCCAGGGCTTTGGCAATTTTATGGTGACCATTGGCTAAGCACGCCTACCCAGCTCAGTTGGGTACTGCAGTTAGAGCAATACTTCTCCAATGGAGTCTACAACCAGTGTACCTGTTTTTGAGCTCTTTTCCTCTGGGTAGGTCGGTAGTTACATGGAATTTCGATATGTTTTGATCACGCTTAGAAAGAGAATATATCGCAAACGTTCTTCAAAAATTTTGGAATGCAAAATATGCCATTTTTGATATCATTCATAATGCACAAATCATACCTATGTACGTATGTACATTAGCGTGGTCCTTAAATGTAGGAAGCAAGTTTTTGAAGATATTACATAAAAACTTTGGTCTCGATTGGAGAGGGCCAAGTTCAGATTGCTCTATGGAGACTCGAAAAACCCTTTGATAGAAGAGTTTTTTTGTTTGCTAAATCAACCTCCCCAGCTAATTTTCTGTATTTCAGCGACTTTCCCAATGACAAGCCACCATTTTTTCTCTTTTTGCACGAGCAACGACGAACAGCACTGTCTTGACTGAAAATGTGTCCTGAAATGTCTCCTTTTAAACGCACGTCAATTGGATTAGTGTTACCAGATGTATGGGCATCAACACAAATCCAAAAATGACAAGAACCCGCAAAAGACTCTTCATATGACCAATGCAAAAAAAGTTGTCGTTGACTTTCTCACGCCTTTTGAATTTTTTTTTTTGAAATGATATGAATTTTATGCAATGTGTAAATGACTTCAAGAGGGTTCCACAAAACGGAAGTTCCATTACCCAATTCGACCCTGTTGTATTTTTTGTGCTTCTCTGTTCTCTGGCGTATCGAATTTCAATCAATACACAACACAAGAATATACACAAATGTTAAGGTTATATCAAACAAATGAAAAACTCGGTAAGCAAGAATAAAAAATGCCGCAAAATCTGCACAAGCAAGACACTATTGCGCAAGTGGAAATGAAAGAATAATAACTATTACTCATATTGAAAAGAAAAACAAAAACAAAAAAAAATATTTCGTCAACTATGTATTACAACCTTGCCAGTCACTTGCCAGGTTTTTATGTACTATGTAGGTATGTACCTATGTAAGCAATCCTTTTGGGAAATAGAGTCGGCTTGAAATGACTTTGCCAGACTTGCAGTTTAGGCTTTGCAGTCGAGGCCACTGACTGATGTGCAAACAATGCCGCCACACCGGCAAATCCAATTGCATTGAAGGCGTCTTCGCGAGTGTGGATTGCATGTGGAATTTGAAATTCTGCAGCCACCACCACCGTTGCAGTGCAGGAGGAGCGCAGAGAGCAATAAGAGAAGGTGCGCCAGTGGCATGCACTGCGTCGCAGTCTGAGAGTTGAGAGTCGCTGCAACGTGTATGCATTCGATGCTGATAAGATGGCTCTGCCAGCGTCGCAGCGCAGCCATGGTTAAAGCTGCGAATAACATTATCACATTGTTGCTATTATTTTGCGGACACCAATTAATCGTCGTCGTTGGTGCAAAGTTCAATGCCGCGGCTTGAAAAATGTACCCACTCTGAGCAAACAACGAGTAAATTGATAAGCCAACAAAAATTCAACTGATACCTAAGAATAGAACAAATGAGCTGAGCGAGCCATCAGTGAGAGTGACTGCCGACTGCCGCCTGGCTGCCCATATCGGGGGAGCCAGTGGAGTTCGCTCGCCACTGTCAATGGAAACGAAAGCAGCCAGCAACGTGGCAGCAACACGTTTGAGCTTCAATTGCTGCTTCATTGCTCTGCGGCAATGTTTTTCCGCTGCGCTGTTGTTGCTGCTGCTACTGCTGCTGCTGCATTGCTGGTAACTGGTGGTTTTGCTGTGTGCGGCTGGGTATACTCGAGTCGTATGCTGCGTCGGCTTATTCAGTCGTTGACTGGACGTGCTGCCGATAACAACGTTTCTTGATTGTGTTCCACGGCTTTTTGGATGAACATAAAGTTTTTAAACTCACAGAGTTCTTCATTCTTGCTCTGTGCTAGCTTTGCGTGCGCGTCGATTGTGATTTTATATACCTTTTCCATTATTGTGCTTTTTTATGAAACTTACTGGCGCATCAACAGCGCAATCGGTAAACCAGTTCGCCTCTGCTTTAGGCGGATGGACGGACGGACGGGCGGATATATACTATACATATGTATGTATATATGTATGTACATTGGGAAACGAGTAATCAGTGCAGCTGTGAGTGAATGTCGGAATAGCGAAGCGCGTTGAAAAGAAAGAATTTATGCTATGCTAGGCATTACTATTTTGCGGTTTTAAGTGAGGTTTTCTTTTTGTTTAGTGATGGTGTATTGAATTATNATAAGAGAAGGTGCGCCAGTGGCATGCACTGCGTCGCAGTCTGAGAGTTGAGAGTCGCTGCAACGTGTATGCATTCGATGCTGATAAGATGGCTCTGCCAGCGTCGCAGCGCAGCCATGGTTAAAGCTGCGAATAACATTATCACATTGTTGCTATTATTTTGCGGACACCAATTAATCGTCGTCGTTGGTGCAAAGTTCAATGCCGCGGCTTGAAAAATGTACCCACTCTGAGCAAACAACGAGTAAATTGATAAGCCAACAAAAATTCAACTGATACCTAAGAATAGAACAAATGAGCTGAGCGAGCCATCAGTGAGAGTGACTGCCGACTGCCGACTGGCTGCCCATATCGGGGGAGCCAGTGGAGTTCGCTCGCCACTGTCAATGCAAACGAAAGCATCCAGCAACGTGGCAGCAACACGTTTGAGCTTCAATTGCTGCTTCATTGCTCTGCGGCAATGTTTTTCCGCTGCGCTGTTGTTGCTGCTGCTGCTGCTGCATTGCTGGTAAGTGGTTTTGCTGTGTGCGGCTGGGTATACTCGAGTCGTATGCTGCGTCGGCTTATTCAGTCGTTGACTGGACGTGCTGCCGATAACAACGTTTCTTGATTGTGTTCCACGGCTTTTTGGATGAACATAAAGTTTTTAAACTCACAGAGTTCTTCATTCTTGCTCTGTGCTAGCTTTGCGTGCGCGTCGATTGTGATTTTATACCTTTTCCATTATTGTGCTTTTTTCTATGAAACTTACTGGCGCATCAACAGCGCAATCGGTAAACCAGTTCGCCTCTGCTTTAGGCGGATGGACGGACGGACGGACGGATATATACTATACATATGTATGTATGTATATATGTACATTGGGAAACGAGTAATCAGTGCAGCTGTGAGTGAATGTTGGAATAGCGAAGCGCGTTGAAAAGAAAGAATTTATGCTATGCTAGGCATTACTATTTTGCGGTTTTAAGTGAGGTTTTCTTTTTGTTTAGTGATGGTGTATTGAATTATTGTTGTTGTACACTTAGCATACCTGTGCAATAAATGAAAGAAAAAAAAACAAAAGCAAACGATTTTTGAAACGATTTGGTCAACATGACAATAAGAACAACTGTGCAAAGAAGAATAACGAACAAATTCAAATTCGATTCCAATTATTTCATGCTATCCGAACTGTTTCCGTGGCAGGTAGTTTGACAGAGTTTTATGTATTGTGCGATTGCCTTGCTTTTGTATTCCAGTTGCCGTGTCGATGTGGATTAACTTCTGTTCTGTGTTGAGTGTAAAAACCTGATGTACATAATAAGAAAGGCACATAAAACAGAAACTGAATCATAAACAGCATACAAAAACAAAAGCAACACAGCGCGCAACAAAAAGTGAACTGCAGTTGATTAAAATCCAGCTGGAAGCTGCATTGTTCTCGTTCTCGATCTGCGCGATCTCCTCTCTGCATTCGTCTGGGGTTCGCAGTACTTTGGACAGCCGTACAGTTGGTTTGGGTATCTGCTGGCTGCTGCCAGTCGCCCGTCTCAGCAATTCTTTCAGCCTTCAAGGCAAACCAGCAGTGCGTTGACTTGGATCTTGCATCTTTCAACTCGGATCTGTATTGGATTCTCGTTTTGCTGCAGGCGTTTAGCTGCCGTACACCGATTCTGTATCTTTTTACCTGTCTGCCATTTATCGCACTTGCCTCGCTGCACGTATAAACCTTGGACGGCGCGCGCCCTCTTGCCTTCGCAGCGCAACACATAGCCCTTGCTGTGTGCGCGCGATCCATGGCAGTCAAACCAGATGTACCAAAAGCGTAGCTAAACCAACTTGTTGTGTGCGTGGTCTGTCGTTAATTACTAAATACTTGCCAATAGCATCAGCCGCCACACCAGCAGTAACTCTGCACAAACAGGAAAACTTTGCATCAGTTTTGTGAATTTTTTCAATTTTCTTCGCAGTGTTCTTCTTATAGTGTTTGGTATTTGAAAATAACGGCAAAGAGAGCTGAGTACGTTTCGCAAAAATTGCGCACGCAAAATGTGAACAGTCTTTGCTTACATAAATTGTTTCGCATCTGCCTTCAATAAGCAAAATACAAATAAATGAGTGAGTACAAATGTGTAGAGCGCGCCGCGTGCAACACGCCTGCGCGCATCCCCTCCACAGAGAAGCCAAGCAAATCGTTCTGCTCGCTAGCCTATTTGGCCAAGTCCACTGTCGCCATAAATAGCAGCAGCGATGTAAGAATTGTAAAGGGGCCCGGCTACAAGGCACTCAACTCTAGCGCGCCGCACACGCCGAATGTTGCAGCTACCGCGAAAGTGAATGAGCGCGGCTCACCTGGTTTACCGACTGGTGCGGCGACAGCAATCAACAACCATGAAGACAACAATAGTCAGCCTAAAGATGCGCCCTTGACTACGACGACGGCAAGTGCAGTCAGCGGACAGGCCAACAAGGACAATGCGCAAGTGGACCTGAATGCAGGCGATGCCGATGCCGATGTGTTTGGTGTAATCAATGAAGAGGACGCTACTGATCCTGCTATTGACCAGTTGGATGGCGTCGATGTGCGACGTCCATGGGAACTAGGCGCACAAAATGGCTTTGTACGCCGCATTCCGCCCGCGCTGATGACACCCGCAAACACACAGAATGGCTATCAACATGGCCCAAATGGGTTGGCATCACTGTCGAAATTGAATAGTATGGACTGCTGGGATTACACCATCGAACTGGAATGCCTTAATGGCCCGCAAGGTTAGTGGGTGTGTGTGGGTGTGACCCTTTGGGAGCAAAAAATTTTGCATTTTATGTATCTAAATATCTATCTGTTGTCAAGTGGTCTCCCCTAAATGATTCATCTCAACCACTAAATATGCTTGCATCTCTGGCTTCTGGTGGTAAATATTCGTTATTAACTCTGTCCTGCAACGGGAAAAAATCTACGCTTTAAGTGCTTTACTTTTTATACCCAATGTCTTAGTAATTGATGCCAGCAGATCCTTACTTTGCATCCATCAACGCTCAAACGAGTATTTTCTAAAGAAATTTTTTTAATGAAAATTTTAACTTTCAGAGTTACAAATAACATATATAATAGAATAATAATATAGAAAGGCCCTAACTCATATAGTCGCTGAAATGAAAAAAAGCCGTAACTGCTTAAAATTTTTTATTGCTGAAAATAATGTGGGGGCTTACAATTCAATGAAATACGTACATAATAATCAATCAAAACGGGAATTTTGGCGTTTTACGGCTTTTTGTATTTCAGCGACGATGTGAGATAGGGCCTTTCTATATTAAGGTAACGATATGTAATACTTATACATATACATACAATTTTCAAAACAATAAAATACACGAAAATTACCCTTAATTAAGCCTAAAATTATGTTGGGATTCATAAAATAGAGCAAAAATTAAGAAACGCAGGCAGACTCATATATGTATGTATGTACATAAATAGTGTATGCGTATTTATGTGTATTCCAATAAATATTTTGTAAAATTGCAAATATTTATTGTTGACTGTTGCCCTAGTTTCGCGTGAGCTTGATAAAGTGTTGTAATTCTCCCCGACAATTTGTTGCCCTTAGACAAATATGTGCCAACATAAAGTAGTATTTATTAACATAAATATTGGACATTGCTTTGGGAGTGGCTTTTTCCTTTGTTTTATTTTATATTGCAACCAATTTAAATTATTTTGTAGTAATTAAATGATGGTGGGAAGATCTCCATTTTTAATTATCACCTCATTTACGTAAATAATTCGCTAGTGTTGCGTAGATCTATGAATTTTTATGAATAATTAATGCGGCGTGAAGTGCAAGCATTCATTGTGTTCCCCAATTAGCTTCAATGGTGATCGGGGGCGACACCTTAGCTCCATAAATAACAATGTGGGAATAATTGTGTTTGCATGTATGTATGCAGTATGTATGCTTGTATGTGCGAGTGCATGCATTTCGCGTGAATTTTACCCAATTTTGTGTTGTTACAACTCTATTGCAATTTGTCTTTCTAATTTTTCCTTAGAAAAGTTTGAAGATTTCTAATATTTCTCACGGAAATTTATAAGTGACAGGTGACCCAGTCAAACTTGCTTACTAACACGCTGTTGCTGTGTTGAAATGGAAATGTTTACAAGTTGCTGCCAATTATTATTATTTTTTTTTTTTACAAAATAGAAAGAAGTACTTTTCCAGCATTAAGAAAAATATTCTTTCATCACATAAATTATTTACAGTTATTACTATATTTTCTGGTGAATTACATGCATAGCTATTTAACTAATTTACATTATTTGGTTTTGGAAGTTTTTCTTTCGGATCGGTAGGCCCTTACCTATGCTATACAAGTTAAACAAATACTGAATGAACTATCTTATGATTTTGGTTATTAAAAATTTATAAATGTATTTTGTAGCCCAGTAAAATTTGATAAATTTGGTAGGAAAATTGAAAAAAAAAAAAATTGTAACAGCGTTTTATTGATGCAGTTCACTTCTATTGGAAACGTAGATCATGGATCCACAGTCTTGCCCCTAAACTTCATTTGGCAACATTCCGCCATCTTGGATTTGAGTTTTTTTGGGTTTTTCGCAATTTGCAAACTTATTTTGTATTTTGCGTAAAAAGTGGTTTAATACAAATATGTATAGAATTTAATTTGCCACATTCATTATATAGAAGGTTTTTAAAACATTGATTTTTTTTTGTAAAAAATTTGCAAAAACTTCGAAAAAATTTCACATTGTTGAAAATTGCTGTTAAAATTTTTTTTAAGTCAAAATTTACTTGCTAATTGGATTTAGCTTACTGTTATTTATTTTTCATTCTCAATATAATGTTTAATTTGACTTATTTGATGAGAGAGGGCTTGCCCGCTTTGTGACTTCGTAAAGTTTTAGTGATAAATGAAGCCACCAAGACATATGTTTCAGTTTAAATGCCAAAATAAGAAGGTTATTCACATTAAAGAACTTTTTTTTTTTTTAAATTCATATGAGTAGAAATGTTTAATGAACGGCTATTACTAACACAAATGCCGGCCACAAATGGAGACGGACATGCAAATATCTACTTTTCTTAATGAATTTCAATTATTAACTACAAAAACAATCACATAGCAGTCAGCTAAGAATTCGTTCAGCGCTTTCCTATTTAAACTTCCACACAACGGCAGCCAAATACATAAGTGGCACAAATGCATATACATACATACAAATGTGTATGAATTTTGACAGCTTAAAAATTTATGCGAAATATGCTAAAGTGTATTGACTCTTTTGCGTGCTTAGTTTTTTAACTTGAAATGGATTTTCATAAATTTTTATGAGTTCTACGCATTTTCTGAGCTACCAAATTAGCAGTACTTCCATTAGCTTTGTTTCCACAGGGAGAGTGGCTAGTGGCTAAATAAAAAACTGTAAGTCCTCGACTTACCAAGACACCAATAGTGTAAAGACAGCTGTGCAGTTGCAATGAGTGAGGTAAGGTGGTAGGCCCCATGTCTTATCGAGCGTTCTTAAATTACTCTTCTATATTCATCCTTGAAATCAGTTTACTGTCCATACAAAGAATATTTGGTAAATCGTTTAGGAGTAAGCGTAATATTTCCTAGCCCGTTTGGTGACGAGGATGTAAAATTTACACTTTTTTCTTAATTCGAAGTTCGTCTTCTCTATATAGATTTTCTTCCTGTCTCACATCATTCTTGTTCAGTTATGAGTATCTTTCAAAGTCATCTCAATAATTTTAGTCATTGAGTTTAGACATCTACCAGAGATGGTATCCAACCATTGACTGAGTTCAGTATTATCAAACCAAACATTACCAACCATTTTGCAATTCTTGGCGGACCCAAACAAAGCAGTTTGGAAAGCATCTGTGTGTGTAGGTGTTGCTTGATTGCAAAAAATCATTCCTAATTTGTATCGTTAACGCTTTTATAAGTTTAACCCTCTTATGACAATAAGCCTTTAATTAAAAAAACATGGTATTGCAAAATGTGTTGCATCGAGAGCGAAATAAACAACTTCGCGCATTAATAAACAAAGAAATCAATGTAAATAATTATGCTCACCTAAAAAATTTCATTAATTTAAAAACTTATTTTTCCTAACTTATTTATTCTAAAATATTTTTGTTAATTTATTTTTTTTACACAATTATACATATTTTGCAAATCTAGTTTTTATTTTTTCCCAAACATTGGGTTTTCAGGGGGTTATTTTTTCCCGAAAATTTTTTTCAAACAGTTTTTATAATTTTGATTGACAATATTTTCTAAAAAAATTATTTTTTTCCTAAAAAAATTCCTAACAAATTTTTTCCCATAAAAGTTTTTTTCTAAAAAAGTACATACTTATTTGTGCGCTTACATAACCAAAATATTATTTCTATTTTCTTAGTTGCATTCCCAAAAATAATTTTATCTGATATAAATCTAACACAAAAGTATTTTTGTCTCCAAAAAAATTTGTGTTTCTTATGATTGAAATTTTTTTATTATTTTGGGTAGACACACACATTTCTTCATAAATTATGTTTTTTGTAAAATTATTTTTTTAACAAAAATTTAGTAGAACGAAAATAGAGTAGTGTTTTCTAACAGGTTCAAATTTCTAAAAAAACTTAATTTGGTAGTTTTTTCTTATTTTTAATAAAAAATATATGTATTTTCTAAAATTTCTTGATAAAAATTGCACATTCTAAATATAAAAAATCAGCCTGATCACCAATTCTCTGTGAATAAATCGTTTTAACAGGCAAAACAAAAAAAAAATAAAATCGGGAAAAATTGTTTTTGGTTTTCTTTATAATTTTTGGGAATATTTGTTCGCGTGAAATTCGCGATAAGTCCGCATGTAAAACTACCGAAAACTCACACAACAATTTCCTTATGAGTGGAGTAACGTGTTGGGAAATACGTTTTCCTTGGCCTTTGGAGGGTTAAATCGTCTTTGGCTATATTGATCTTACGAAATTTCTTTACGATGATTAAGATTCTTAAATTCTGAAATGTAAAAAAATCTTCAAGTAATTCTAATGTGGAACTATAAAAAATACCTTGCCAAAGAAGTTCAACTAGTTTTGCGAATTTTATTGCACATATTTGAAAATCTCTACTGATCCAATAATCTGCCTTTTGTCGTATATATAGTACAACCCTGTGTACTACTTTGTACAGCTTTGTTAGTCAAAATTTCTTTGATGTGCTCTTGCCAAGCTTTCGAAATCCATATTGTTTTTACTACAGTATGTTTTCATATTTTTAGGGTCAGCGTTATTTTTCTGTATGTGAAAAAACGAAAAAATTAGTTGTTCAAACATGATTAACTCAAATGTGTGCCAATTTTAACTAAATCTTCCAGGAACTGCGGATCCAACAATGACGCAAATTATAATCGTATTTCCTTATTGACAAATTGTAATACTCACTGCTTCAACTTAATTATATTTGTGTAAAATTAATTGCAATTCAAATTGAAGTTTCGTTAACTTTAACTCCATTTTTGTATCCTCTTTCTCTTCAATTGATTTATTTTCGTCATTTGAGGCGATTTATTGCACTTTTTATTTTCCCCCCTTTTGTTCCATGTTTGCAGCAATTGTTGTTTTTAATTAACAATTTAATGACGTAAAAGAGCAGCTACTTGCAAAATATATAAAAAAATTAATTTATTTTCATATCAACATTGTTCAAACTTTGTTTGTTAAATAAACAAAACAATAAATTTGTGTGCCTATCAGTAAAGAAAAAAATCCGATAAGACAACGCCGTCAGGCGTCAACTGTTTGTATGAAGTAACTGCATAGAGAACAGGGGGTGAAGGGCTCAGTAAAAACTTGTATACATACATATAAATTAAAAAAGTAATCAAAGCTGAATCAATGAAATTTTAATGAAAGTTATTGAATATTGGCGCTTATATACAAGTAAATACTGGCTAATACAGCCAAGCTTGCAGGTGTGTGTACCGCACTTTAATCTCCAACGCAATGGCAAGACGACTTGGAAGCTTCAAACTGTTTGCATACAAAGCATGCTTTCAAAAAATCAGACTTATAAAAATATCACAATTGGGGCCAATTCATGCGCTTCTTGTTGTCGAGTTGGACACATGTGTCGTAGTATTTATTTATTTATTTATTTTTTCTTATATCAACTTTTGCTTTCAACCAAATTCGCATTCTGCTGATTGCCAACTAAATATGGTATGACGTGTGCACGAATTGGGTTGAGGAACCGCTCCACGTTGAAGTTGACGACATTCCAGCGTATGACACCGTTGTAATTCCAATTCTTTCGACATGTTAACGTACATATGAGAAACGGTAAAATGGTAAGCTGATTACGATCAGTAGTTAGTGATCAAATTTTTGATTGTCTTATACCTATAACTGGTTAAAAATGTTTGAATCTGTTGCTTTGAACTAATTTGTTAACTTCATGCGGACGTGAAGCGATTGTGAAATTGAATGCAATTGCCGTCGGCCAGTTGGTAAATTCAAATAATGTAAATGATTGACTTGCTATTTGGTACTGCCTAATGAACTATAGCCCATTTCCACCAAAAGCTTGACTGCCACTTAAAAGCTCAGGTTAGTTCTAAGATTTCGAATATGAGGTGATTGGCAATGGCTATTTCTTACTTTTTGCTTTTTCACTTTCATTTGCTTGTATACTTACTATGAGCCATTATGGACCTTAACTGCAGTTAAGGCTTGGTGGAAATGAACTTTTATGTTTTTGACCACAATTTCAGGTGCTGGATCGAAGTTTTTCGCATCTGCTTCTATTTAAAGACAATTTTTCGCTATTTGCTGCTATAAGCTGAAGTAATTCAAAATTGATAGCAAGGCTAGATTTTTCGCACGTAAAAAAAAATGATCCC